AAAATTAGCAGGGCCTGGTAGTGCACACTGGTAATTCCAGCTACTTGGGAGGCTGAGGAAGGAGAATCACTTGAACGCAGGAAGTGGAGGTTGCAGTGAACCAAGATCATGCCACTGCACTCTGGCCTGCATGACGGGAACAAGACTCCATCTCAAAAAAATAAAAAAATATAAAGTATAGTTAGCAGAGACATGGTTCTGGTGGGCACAATGGAGATGTAATTTTAATTCCTTCTATTCACAACCAATAATAACATTGAAATTTTGATAAGCAACATTTGAGAGGCACAGAAACTTGAGATTCACTTAACTGCTAAAATACTACTCTATTATCCACAAACCACCAGTTGTAAATGTTTCCATGCGCAGTTCAGTTGACAGCAAGAGAATTTGGAAGGCTCTAAGCTAGGAACCAGTATGAGATGCCAGGTGCCTCCTTGCCTTCCTGAAAACACTGCCATGAAAGTAGGCCTTTAACACAGTTTCCTTCAGGTTTGGAGATCCGCTCGACAGTGGAGTGTCCAACTGTAGGGGATAATTGAGCACAGTCCCAAATGCCGTCATGCAGCAAATCCGTTCAAATCCATTCAGACTATGAGTAGTTCAGAAAAGTGCCTGGGATAAAGTGCTGGGTGGAAAAGAAGCATAAAAATGCATAAACAGTATGATCACAACCATATAAGAAAACCTACACACAGGTGAGCAAAAGCTGGAAGTAAATAACCATCAGCGCGTGCTGTGGATGTCTCGTGCTGCTGGCTGCATTACAGCAGAATTGTTAGTAGCATTGGTGTCTTCATGAGGGGCTGTGAGTGGCTCTCTTCCTGCTGGTCTGTGTTTTCCAAACGTTCATTAGTGAACGTGTGTGACTTTACAACAAGAACATAATACGAAGCATGTTAGACTTCAGCATCAGTTAGAATAAAGAAACGCATGGGGAAAGAGAAGTATTTTTCACAGGCCTCAGGTTAGAACACGTTGGCAGAAGAGCCTGGACGCTTCCCTTGACTCGCCTGTTTCCCTTGCTACCCCCACCTCTGATCAGTCACCACGCTTGTGCTTCTGTCTCTGGAATGCCTGCCTTCGCCTCGTGTATTCCTGCCTCACTGCCTGCCTACCACCAGGTCTAGCCCTGGATATCGCTGGGTGCCCAGCTACCTCACAGGACTGCAACCTGACGATCATTCCCATCACCTGCCCTCCCTAGTTCCCAAACTCTCCTCAGGCTACCTCTCCTCCTCCCTCAGGTTTCAGGTTTACTGGAACTGCCTCTGGAAACTCCTCCAACTTCCCAGGAGTGAGCTGGGTGTTCCCTCTTCTGTTGCCGTGGACACCCACCTTATAACACCAGCCCATCCGCAGTCCATTATCCACAATTCCAAAATCCAAAGAGTTCAGGGAAAATCAAAACTTTTCTTAAAACCCATGCAGCCACAAAATCTGGACTGACCTGACACAAGACTACTTACAGTCTGTTTTATTATCATTTAGTATAACTGTTCATACATTTTGCTGAAGGAATCTTCACGTTTGATTATGGTGTGCTGGCCAGATGTTGCTGGACTGCTCAGAAAGATGGGATTAGAGTAACCACAAATTTACCACCCGTCCATTGAGAGTGCAAGGGGCGGGGCCAGAGGCAGCACCCGGACAAGCCTAACAAGCCTGGCAGAACAGGGCAAATGTCCACCTGTGTGTGCTGCGTTTGTCACTTCATCTCTCTACAAGCCAAAACATCTCAACTCCAAGCTCCCTGGAGGCTTTGCAAAGGTTCTGTGCACCTGTATTCTGATTGCTGGTTTATGTGTCTATTTCTACCATGGTCTTTTTGGCTCTTTAAGTATAGGGAAGGTGCTTTGTTCCGTTTGTATCTATCCCCGATGCCTTGCCTGACATGTAGTAAGCTATCAATACTTACTGGTTCAGTAGTCATCACTTTGTCTTTTAGTGCTGTTTAATAATTATCTATAGAACTAGTATCTCACCATCGAAAGTTTGAGGAGGAAATTTCTATCTAGGCTTTGTTCAGCATTTTAAACATGATGATGATTATTAAATGCTTTAATGACACAACAATTCACTGATTCAGTTTCAAAGATACTTTTTAGGAAGAACAAGTATGTACTTGAACCACCCCCCACCCCGCCAAAAAAAGCAGAACAAAAGTTGTCATAGCCAGGTGGCCCTAATATTAATCCACAAAGCAAGTGCCATGCAGGCAGGGACTGTGTTTATTACTTCCAGTTTACATATTGCTCTTCTCACACATGAAAATAGCCACAGCAATGGAAGTTCAGGAGTGAGCACTTACTGAGTACGTATGATACACTGGGCACTAGGCTCAGCACTCCCGGTGCATTTTCTTATTTACTGTTTTCAGTGACATATATTTTCATGCTCCCTGTTTGCCTGTCCTGGCCTTCTTCCTTTCTGGAGTGTTCCTCTAATTTTTTGAAGTTTGTCTAGTTGATCTTGCTGATTTCCTCCTTTTTCTCCAACAGACCTCCGTGAATGGCAATCCCACACTGACCTTCCTTCCTCACAGGCATGCTCTTGCTCAGTTACCCTCAGTGGCTCTCTGTTGCCCATCCCATCCAGCCCACACCACTCTGCCAGCCTCAGAGCTGTCCAGAACCTGATGTCCTGTGGATTCCTCAGGCAGGGCTGCCTTTGCCCCCACACTCACCCCACCGTGAATCTCAGTGCCTTTACTCAGGCTACCCCCACCCCTGCTGTCCTCTTTTTCCTTCTGATTGCTCTATTATAAGTCAGCCTGGAGACAGCCTTGTGTTGGTGACTCACTGTATCATCAGCATTGATCTTGTCCCCTTAGCAAAAATGTTAACTTGTTGGAGTCAAGAACCAGGTCTTGTCTTGCTGTCATATCTTCCTCACGCCTGTCACTGTGGCAGATGAAAAGGTGATGAATAGGGTGGTGAATGAGCCTTAGAAAGTCAGGGTGCACAGACTTTCAGAAACACATATCTGGTTTGCAAGGACAATGTTCTTAAACTCATTTTTACAAGAAGCTGGTACCAAAAGTGAAAGAAAAGAAAAATAGAAATATGATTACTTTCATTCTTAAATGCAGATCTAAAATTCAAGTTGTGGGAGAGATCTAACTTCACAGTGCTGTACATGGAAAGGCCTTGGCACTGTAGCCACTGGTGAGCTGAGTGTGAACCAAGACTATGTCGTGGGGTCCTCAAGTGCAGCTCGACCCCAGGCTGCTTTCACACCAGTGTGATGCTCAGGAGGTGAACGGTGTCCCCCCAGTGCACCTGGCAGCTATGGCATAGGATACCTCAACAGATGCCAGCAGACATACCCAGGGACAGTGGCCAGCATGCTGCCCCATGGCTTTATTGGGGAGTAGGGAAGAGGGTTGTATTTATTTATACAAAGTAGCTTTGAATGGACTTCCACCCAGCACAGAAAAAGCAATATGCAAAAGCAACTTAAACATTTTTCTTTGAATGAAAGTCTAACTAGTTGAGCTACAGACGTCTCTTTGGTATGACAAGGCATGTTTGGACATGTCGTGTTACCGCTTTAGGGTGGAACTAGAGATAAGAAAGGTGAACTCAGGTAGCAACTGCCTGCAAGAATATTTACAAACTATTAAAACATCTGCTCTCCCTGAGGAAGAGCAAGAGACAGATGGGTGGAGACAGGGACGGAGGAGGGAGAGAGAGAAAACAAAGTGAGCACACCCCCCCGTGCCCAGCTCACTTTTCCCTACCATGCCCTGTGCCCACATAGCCAGTATGCAGGAACTCCTTTACTTCACACAGGAGTTGCCACCACCAAGAAACCCACTGCATGTGCTTGTCCTCATTATGCTTAAGAAAGATCTCAGCTTCCAGGCCAGGTACAGTGGCTCAGCACTTTGGGAGGCCGAGGCAGCAGATCACCTGAGGTTGGGAGTTCGAGACCAGCGTGACTAACATGTAGAAACCCCATCTCTACTAAAAATAGAAAAAATTAGCCTGGCATGGTGGTGGTACATGCCTGTAATCCCAGCTACTCAGGAGGCTGAGGCAGGAGAATCTGCTTGAACCAGTGAGGCGGAGGTTGTGGTGAGCCAAGATCATGCCCTTGCACTCCAGCCTAGTAAACAGACTAAAACTCCATCTCAAGAAAAAAAAAAAAAAAAAAAAGATCTTCAGCTTCCTTCCCCCAAAAGGTGCTGCTGCAGCTGCAGCTCAGGGCATGTGTTTTGTTCAGCACTTCAACTTGTCTCTGCACATGTGGGCTCTAGTCCAGCAGCTTAGGAAATCCTCATGGATAGCAACCTGGGATACAAAACCCAGCAATCATAAGTCAACACAATTTATTGGCCCTCCTCGTAGCGAGGGTTGGGGTGGAGCTGTCACAGAGCTGAAGTTATCTTTCATAAAGAAGTGATTTCCCCAGATTGAGGTTAGGGTCACCAGAAGGGCAGTGAGGCAGACATTATCTGCTATCCAATGTCCTGAGCTCCAAGACCCTGAGTGCTGATGGCTTAAATGCATCAGCCTGAAATGCTGCGGAAACCTTCCCGCTGCAGCTCTCACAGCCTCCCCAGCATTCCCCGCAGGTGGGCAGTACCCTTATCAGCTACCCTTGCTACCAAAGCTGCTGGACCCACAGAGGGGTAACACACGTGGTGGCTTCTCTCCAAGGCATCTCTTTTGTCTTCCCTAAGGAATGAACTTCAGTCATAGCAAGTGTGGATCTTTTTAGTGCTCCTTTCTCTGCCCTCCCCACACACATGTAGTGAAATTATAAAACAGAGCCAGGATCCATGCTATTAGGAAAGGGTTCTATACATCAGGCTCTTGAACGGGCAGAGTATTTTTGATCAAGACTCTGGGTGAGAGAGCAGAATACAGTCTCTCACGTTTTACGCCAGGCTCTGCACTGACTAAAGAGTGTCCTGTTTTACCTCTGCCCTAACTCAAACCAAGGAGCCATACCAAGCATTCCTGCCGCTCCAAACGTCTGTCGTTCTCTCTAAGGCTCTTCAGCAGTGCCTGAGTTAAGCTGCACCTTTACAAAGAGTCAGAGTCCAGCTACTGCTGTCAGAACTCAAGCTTGTGTCAGGCATTGCTGAGAAAAACCTCCAGCTCTGATTGTGTGACGTTGTGGCACCTTTCTTCCAAATCTTCCTTGTCTTAAAGGGGGCATTCCAGTTTCAAGTTCAATAATACCCAAGAGAAAGATACATCATTTGAGAAGAATTTCTCACACCCCCATCTCAAAAATGTTGGCCATCTGACATTTTATAACATCATGTCTGCCCGTAAGAGCCAAACTCCTGTGTTGTGAATCAGCTTTCAGCTCCATTGGAAGAAATACTTCTCTTTGAATCAGAACATGTTTCACTCCAAATAAAATTGTCATGTCTGTCATCAGTAAACAAAAATAATTAGTTGTAAGGAACTTACTTTAAACTTACAGAAATAGAAGACACATTGATAGAGTTATGGAAAGGAAGAATTTATAAATAAATGTATTACTTATAATAAATATATATTACTTGAAAATAAGAAGACTTCTGCCCCAGTGACCTTAGATTTAATGGATTAATATTAGAAAATAAAATGTAACAAATTATTTTTAGTTTTTTCATCACAGACTAGGATACTACTCTCTCAAAAATTTGAATATGCCTCTTTTTTTTTAAATACGCACCTTTTCAATTGTATAGACTTGTCTCTAAGATGAAACCCTGCCTAATTAAGGAATGGAGTTGCTCTGAGGATGAATGAGAGAGTGTCAGAATAGATGCAGGTCGTGTGCTCTGAAAACATGTGAGCAGTCAGTGTTTAACCAGGGTGGAAAGACACACTGTGGAGACATTGGGTTGAAGGACAGAACTTTGATCATTATTTTATTCTCTATGGGAAGAAAACATTATGTAGGTAATGAAACTGAACAATGAAAGGAAGGTAGTGTGTATTTTTAAAATAATAAGTGCCATTTATGTGTAGAATTGAGGTCAGTTGGTTAATTATAAATGGAAAGCTTAATACAACTATAGTCTGTCCCTTTGGACAGATTGATGGACTCCACACTAAGGGAAGGGAGGGAGAGGCAGGGAGACAGGAAGAAATCAAGGAGGGAATGTGGGTTTAGCAAAGGCATGCACTGTAAATATGGCGAGGGGTGGGTCTCTGGTTATTATAATCAGTCTCTAGTTGACTACCTAAAGATTCCTGAACCCAGACTTTTAAAGAGTCCCTGGTTTGTTACCCTGGCGGCATCACCAGCCTGAGCTCGCCTCCTGGGATTTTGCATCTCGCCCTTATGATTTATGAATAGGAAAGTGATGACTGACGCTTCTCCTTGACTCCTGCCACTTGTTTGTCAATTATCTTTTTTTTTTTTTTTTTTTTTTTGAGACGGAGTTTCACTCTTGTTACCCAGGCTGGAATGCAATGGTGTGCTCACCACAACCTCCGCCTCCTAGGTTCAGGCACTTCTCCTGCCTCAGCCTCCTGAATAGCTGGGATTATAGGCATATCTTTTAAAGTACAGTTAGGGTCTCGGATTTCCAGAATGGGGGCTAGGATGGCCTTTGAGCATCAGGCATTCCTATTCTTGGTGAAGGTGGACTACTCAGCTTTGAGTCCCCGTGCCGGGCCCGAGGAAGGACCATGCGAGGCGTGCTGGCACCTGCAGTCTTCTTTCTTGTCACCACATAGGACATCACTAGATAAAAGACATCAAAATCAGATGCTGTTGTCCCACGTTACCATCTCTCTTCTCAAATCAGTGTCCTAATACCCAGGCAGGCTTTGGTTCATCCTTTTTTAGCCACCCATGGGAATTTAAAATGTGACCGTGCAGCTCCTGACCCTGTTGAGAGTGCCTAGGAACCAGAAGACTGTAGATCTGCTTTTCTCCCAAGGGAGAAACTAATGATTTGCAGAAGCTAGTAATTCAGAGTCTATGAAATTTGCCCCAGGCTCTCCCTTCCCCCCTGCTTTCCGTGGTATTGAGGAGTTCTATTTAATCTGAACAGAAAATTCCATTTTCTTCTGATAATTTTGTGACTATATGAAAATGGAATTAAAGGATTGCAGATTTTTCCCCATACACATATTTTCAAGTCCAGAGTAAAAAAAAACTTTTGCAGAGTAATTGAGAATAAAAGTGAGTTTTCTTAAGTATAATAATACTTTAAAAAATTCTCCTACACGGATAAATTAGAAGAAGCATGAAGACTTTTCCTTAAAGAAAAGTTCCCTTTCCTGCACTTTGAATAGATAGACAAAATGAGTAAGCAGGGACACATCCAACTTTTGTGGGAGCTCATACACCTCAGTGTGTGGAGGGGGTTCTTTTGTAGAAAAAGAATGCAAAAATACCTCACTTTTGCAGTGTGTTCACATTCTGTGTGTGTGAGCTGCTGCTCTCCCTGCTGTGCCTGGAGAGCTCAGGTGAGATGCTGAGCCCCAGGGCTTAGGCCAGCTGCCTCTGCATAGGGAGGTATTGTGTGCCCCTCAGCTGTGCCAGGGAGGAGTCACAGCAGAGGGCATGCTGCCATCCTAATCTCTGTGGCACACAGGAGAATGGTCCCACCCCCAAGAAAGTCCCCATGCTAATGCTAGAACACGTGGCTATGTCACCTTTCGTGATAACAAAGAGACTTTGCAAATGGGATTGAAGGAAGGGTGTGGAGATGGTCCTGGATTTTCCAGGGAGCCCTAATGATAACCACAAGATCCTTATAAGAGGAAGGCAGGAGGGTCGGAGTCCGAAAAGGAGCATTGAGGACAAAGCTGGGTCAGGGTGATGCGAGGAAGGGGCTGCGAGCCAAGGAGTGCAGGCGCCTCTAGAAGCTGGACAAGGCAAGGGAATAGGTTCTACCAGGGAGCCTCCAGAGACAGCCAACCATGCCCACACCCAGAACTGTAAGAGGATTAACATGTATTCTCTTAAACCCCTACAACTGTAGTAATTTGTTAGGCGGGGCTGGCTCCAGCCTCCCCTCTGGCTGCTTCAGCCACCTCCACAGTTAGGTCCTCCTAGAGACCCCTCTTGGCTGTCCCAGGCCCTGTCTCCTGTACGTCCCTCTGCCCCTCACCCAGCTGTTCTCTCTCCCTACCCCCATCTTCTTTATTTTTCTTTTTTTCTTTGCATTCTCCAAACATAAACCCTCAGGCTCATTTCCCCAGCCTGATGCGCAGTCTTCTTCTCTGTTATGTGTCTCCCCTCCGACCAATGCCTACCTGGGGGACAGAAGGCTACACTATGTGGCTCTGGCATCCCCTCAGTCCACACAGCCTGGGCACGTCCCACTCAATCACACGTGAACACGAAGAGATCTTGTCAAGTAGACAGAGACTAAGAGGGCCTATTACTTCATGACTTTTCTAAAGGTCCGAGCTGCCCATTCAGCTTTGCATGAAAATGGAGACTGGGAGTTTTTAACACGCCATGACTGTAGCTTGTCCATGTCTGCTGTGAAGTGGCACTGGCTATTCAGAATACTGTTGGAATTTCATTTGGCCAGGCGACAAGAAAGTGTTCACAACCGAAGGAGGAACTTATCTGCTCCTTCCTGAGGAAATATGTGCCCCACAAAAAAAAAAAAAAAAGGAAACCAGGCCCCAGTGTGCCACAGAGCAGCACCTCCTCTGGATGCTGCCCTCTGTCCAGGGTTCTGCACGCATGGGAGCTGGGGCCTGGAGGCGCCCGTGCCTGCCCTTCTCAGAGTCGGCTGTGCTGCACTGATTGCTTTTCCACCTCAATCCCAACTTTGTAGGCTTGACTTAAAGCAGCGGTCCTGACTCAGCTCATCTCCCAGCCATCTCATTTCCTTACGCAGGAATCAGCGATTCTGTGTATTTTTCTAATAAGCAAAGTCCCCAGAGATGAAAGAAGTCACCACAAAATAGTCAGCTCTTTCTGGAAACAGAAGAAAGACTGCTGACCCTATTTGCAGGGAGGGAGGAGGGTGTTCTTCCTGAAACACCTGAGTGTGTGTTTGGACCACACAGGGGTGGAGGACAGTTCGGGAAAACCACGTTTGCATTGAAAAGATCTTGGTTCCAACCTCATAGGTGTTGCCCACCCGTTCTAGGACTTGTCTCCAGCGCTACCTCACATGTATACCATCTATAAATACTGCAGGGCATGCATATGTGTAGATACACACAAAGCTAAAGCATACATTCACCAAGGTAAACTGCGCTTGCCAGGGCTTTAATCTCCCCAGGAGGCTGTTATTACTGGAGTCCAGCCCCAGAGCACCAGCTGTGTAGAGGAAGGGAGACTCTGGCGATGGGAGGCCGGGCGGAGTCCCTCTTTGTCTGCTCTTTGCTTTTGGGAACATGTGTCTAGCCAGCATTCACATGTGGCCATAAATGAAATGATATGCTTGACTTGCCCCTAAAGATGCCATTCTTGTCAGTATGTTACTTTACAGAGATACTTGACCCTTGATCGTTTCCAGCCATACTGGATTCCCGTGGAACAAGGGAGCAGGAAGTGCTCTCATCATATTTCCCCTCTTCAGCTTGAGCAATCAGAAATGGAGGTGACCATGATAAAGGAAGAAAGTTTTCTCTCATGCATTTGCATTGTTTTAACTCACCTTGGCACCTAGTCTGACTTCTGCTTATGGTCTGGACCAGTGGTTCTTGAACTTACACAAGCATCAGAAACACCCAGAAGGCTTGTTCCAATCCCGATTTCTAGGCCTCATCCCCACAGTTTCTGACTCGTGAGGTGTGCACAGTGTCCCAAATTTGTTTTTCTAACAAGTTCTCATGTGATGCTGATGCTGCTGGCCTGGATTGGGGATCATACTCTGAGAACCATTGGCTTAGAACATGAGGTTGCAGCGCTCCAAGGTTTTCGCATTGTTTTCTATTAAGGAATAGCTTATAAGAAATAGGTTTCTAGTTTTTAAATTTTGTCACCAGCCCAGTCTCTATGATTGAGAGGGTGACCAGCTGTCTCAGTTTGCCCAGGGGCACAGGATTGTTCATGCTGAAACTGAGAAAGTCCTGGGCAAACTGGGATGAAAACTGGCCACCTTCACTATTGACCAGCTTCTCAAATGCTTTGTCTACAATGCTGGTATCTGGTTGGGAGGAGGCCCCACTGGAAAAGCTGTTGAGTGTGCTACCCCGGGGTTCCACAGGACACTTAGACTTTGGGGGACACCTGCCATTGAAGCACTGCGACAATCTTTAGGGATGTTAATGTTCCTCAGGAGGCATATGTAGGAATCACAGCCACTTTAAACATGCCCACCTGTGGCATTTGGGCTCACACAGCCAAACAGCTGCCATCGTCTGCAGTAACGTGTGAGCTATTGGGTTCAGACAATGTGGCAGACATACTTCTCTGCATCATGTACCAGCCTGTTTTCTCCTCATGGAGCCCAATCATGTAATTATCATCATTTCTGTCTTTCAAAAACAAATGCTTACAGATGCCATTATTTACCCCAGGGTCACAGGTGGTAAAAGTGGCAGAATCACAGGCCAAACACTTGTGGTTTTACCATGTGACTCCAAGGAGCATTAAATCTGAGGTTCTTTATCCATTAGTTTTTCCAACCACTCTCACCTTTTCCTCTACTGGAGGTGAAGCCCTCTAGAGTGGAAGGCAGTGGGCCTAGCTTCATCAGGAAGCTTGGACTTCACTCCTGCTTCTTCCAGCT